GGCCTGCTGTCTCCCGGAGCGGCTGGGGAGGCGGCGTTTGCAGCGGGAGCGCGAATCTGAGGGAAGAGAGAATGAGGAGAGGGAAAGCCGGGAGGGGAGGGCGAGGAGAGGGAAAGCCGGGAGGGGAGAGCGAGGAGAGGCAGGCGGGAGGGAGAGAAGAGGAGGAATCGAGAGGGGGATGAGCGGGTCGCGGGAGCCCGGAGGCGGGGGGGAGGGAGGAGCTCGGGGGTGCCCCATGGGTTAACCTGGGGAGCAAGATAGAGAGCCCAGAGCCGAGAGGTGGACCGGGCGAGGGGAGGAAGGACATCAAAGACCGGTGGGCATCAGCTGTCACATCGCAAACACCTCTCCCTGCAGCAGTACACACCCTACCCCCACCCCCCACTCCACCCTCTGCCCTGGTCAATTTTGGAACGTCTCAGGCCTCTGTAATGTTGGTTCTCCCAAAGGTAATAGAGCACATTTACAGCTCCCTGGACCAGTCAGGTTGGAGGACGGAACGAATGGCTCTTCCCCCGCTCTTGGACCGCTGACTTTGGCTCAGTTGGTAACCGCGCTTAGAAGCACCGGGCTCACGAAAAAAAAAATAAATACCAGCAGGCCAACGAGATCGTGCCGTCGATATAAGTTGAAAGCCTGAATCACAAAAAGCATCAGCATCGGTAGTCCTTAAAAAAGTTACCAGAATGTCCCTTGGCACTGTCGTCTCCAACAGGTATCTGCGTGATCAGTTTGACGCTGACTGTCCTTGCTCCCCAGAACCTCTTTGGGAACTGGTTCCATATTAACGAGAGGAGGCAATTTCGCTCAAGCTTCCACTCAGACTCTCAAGTGACTTAATTCGTTTTGAAGAATTTCGGCTTGTTTTTGCACAAAGGAGAAGGTAAAAAGCAGCTCAAGCCCATTCATAACTACGTGTGGCAGGTTCACAACACTGGAATGTTATGGGGAGGAACACACGGCATCACTCTAAAGCTGACCTAATAGCAGGTGGAGCATGTGTGTGTGTAGCTGAGCTGCACAGTTCTCCTTAGAATGGTTTTTGGCACTGAGTTTCATTTCACTTGGGCTGACTTTATTATATTTTCTGTGTAGAGGAAGTTTGGCTATGATACATAAAATTAAAGAATTTTAAAAGTAATAGGAAGCTTATAGTTTATCTCATACAACACCCTGGTATTCAGATTAAGAAACGATAAAGGAGAGGTGGAGTCCTGAAAGTCCAGGTGATCTGAAAGTCAAGATATTCTTTACCTTACACAGAAACAGTTGCAAGTCTGAACAAATACATCTAGCTACTGGATGTGGAATATTGACAGAGAAAGAAAGAAAAGAGGAAGGGCAGAAGCAGGCTCCTTTTATGTGTGGAGGTAAATTTGTGTCGTTAAGGTATTCCTGTGGCTGGGCCCATTTTCATTAATTTCTTGACTCTGAGTTTCTGTATAGCTTGGAATCACACCCACATATTATATAGTCTGGGATGCTGATTTTCTGTGTTTGATCTTGTTCAATGATCACTGTTGGGCTACAGAGGTTCAACAATGTTGTGGATTTCGTTCTGTGGCACTTAAAGATTTTACTCTTTCTGTAGAGTTCAGCAATGTAGTAAAAGAAAAAAAATTAATCTAAAATTTCTCTGTGTTTGGAATGAGGGTAAGTAAAGGGGTAGGGGTGGAGGACAAGTTTCCTTTAAGTTAGTTCTTTGGCAATATTAACTAGCACTCTCCATACAATTTTTAAATCATGAGAGAGAAAGGTCACTTTGACAGTGTTATTTCAATTAAGTAATGAGAGGAGAGAAGGCAGATTAAAATGTTTTAAGAAATAAATAGAAAACAAAAGCTGTAAATATGTGCTTCTCTCTCTCTCTCTCTCCATATACATGTAAATATTTTCGTATATGTATGAAAGTAAGTAAGTAGTTGTTCACCAAACCTTTCAGGAGCTAGAAGGGAATCAAAGTAATTTGAGTGGATGGATAGGAGGTAGTGAGAAATCGTCTTAGATAAGTGTTTTAAGAAATAAATAGAAAACAAAAGCTGTAAATATGTGCTTCTCTCTCTCTCTCTCTCTCCATATACATGTAAATATTTTCGTATATGTATGAAAGTAAGTAGTTGTTCACCAAACCTTTCAGGAGCTAGAAGGTAATCAAAGTAATTTGAGTGGATGGATAGGAGGTAGTGAGAAATCGTCTTAGATAAGGAGGATGAGGAAGAGAAACATATCTTTTTCAGAAGCATGAAAAAGAAGAAAATACTGAGATGGAGATTAAGGTAAGGAAACTCTCACTGGGGAATCCTGATTTCTGTGTAAGAGTAAAGTTCAACAAGTGGAATAACGGCCTGGAGTGAGAATCAATACTCAAAGAGAATATAAATATTTGGGAATTACTGTCTTAAGAAATGAAATTGCAGTCAATAAGAGGTGATCAATAGTGAGGACCCAGTCAGCAGTGTTCTGCATTCTTCCTCCCCAATTTTCCTGGTCTTCTCAGCTAATATAGATCTCTTGCTTTTCTGCATCTCTCTCATCAAGGCAAAAACAAAAATAGAGATTATGTAGTCACAAAACATTTAATTGAAATGTTATGAATTATGAATGTTATGAATTGAATTATTATGTATGTACCAAGCTGTGCCATAGGGACTGGGATAAGAGATAAGACACAGTCATTGACATCTGGAGCAAACAGTCTGATGGTGAGAACAGAACATACCTGTACTACAATATGGTTAAGTGTTAGCATAGAGATATTAACAAGGAGCATTGAGGCACAAAAGAAAATATTTAACTGTTTAGGGGAAAAGAGATCCCAGAGAAGAAAAACTCATGTACACAATGTTATAATTGAGACTCAGGGAGTGCTTATTGTATTGAGTGAATGATTGAATGGATAGATAAATGGCTGTGTTGGAAGAATTGAGAGGATGAACTTCCCACAATTCAAGGTACTAAGAGGCTTTTTGGTCATTCTTCAGATGATGTTTGCTTCTGACACTTTCTGAAAAGCAGGCAGCTTCATCATTAACTTAAAACTTAAATATGGCTGTTAAGGCAACATTTGTAAATTCTTTCATTCGGATATATGTTCATATGGTGTTTTTATTTCTTACACATTATTACAATTTTTAAACAATAGATGAGTTCCTAAGAGTTGTATGAAATTAAAATTTTTGTAAATTGAAACTTTAATGATGGTATAATGAGCACTGTATCAAGAGATCTGAGCTCTAGAACTTCCACATCTGCCACCCAGGCGTGATTTGGGGCAAATGTCTCAATCTCTCTAGGCCTACAGCTTTTTCACATGTAAAATGAGTGTATTTGACAAATGATTTCTAAAAGTTTACGACTTATTTTATTCATATCTTTATTTTAATTTTTATTTGTACATGTTTATGGGGTACAGTTTCTTATTTTAATACATGCGTATATTATATAATGATCTAATCAGAATAGTTAGCGTATCTATCACGTAAACATTTACCATTCTTTGTGTTTATAACACTCAAGATCCTCTTTTCTGGCTATCTTGAAATAAATGATACAATATTATTAGCTTTTGTTACCATAGGGCACCAGAACTTATTCCTCTTATCTAACTGTAACTTTGTAACTTTGTACCAGTCTAGCAGCCTCCCCCAGCCTCCCTCCCCCCTCCCTTTCCCTGCCTCTGGTAACCATTATTCCACTTTCTATTTCTCTCATTTTTTCCCTCTTTTTAATATATTTTTCTTAATTGACCCACAATAATTGTATATATTTATGGAATGCAATATGATATTTGGGCGTATTCAAACTGTGTGCAATGATTACATCAGGGTGCTTAGTATATCCATCACTTCAAACATTTGTATGACTCATATTTTAAATGAATTGAAGCTTTTTAAACTTAATGTAACTTTTCATAAAGGAAAAGACCATATTATAATCCTTTGACAATCACTCCTCAACTGAAATATTTAATAGCTTCATTAATATATCAGTTTCTCAGAAAACCTTTTAGGTTTGTCTCTTTATTTTTTATTTGTTTATTTTATTTACTGGAGGAAAAAGCTGTCTTCTGAACACATGGTAACTACCCACATATTACCTAGATTTTATACACAGAAGGATGGAATCATGCCATCTGGTATGGAAATATAGTTGTTTTCTAAAATTAATCTCACTAAACTATACTGGGCTCAATGCCTTATCTGGACACTATGGGTTTGTTAAATAAGCTTTATTACTTTAAAAAAAATCCAAAATATGTAATAGATTGGCTCTTAAAAACTAACATTTATTTCACTCAATTGGTTTAAAGTTCTTTCCCAAATTTTTTAGTTATACCTCCTAGTGCCTTATATGTAATAGGCATTCAAGAAATATTTGTTTTTAGTTTATTTGAAAATAAGTGAGTTCTACAGAGTACAATCATAAAATCCCACCTTTTCTTTGATGCTTCAAAGCTTAAAAAGAAAATAAGAAAACATAATTCCAGCAACTCTATGGCTGCCAGCTCTGTTTCCAAGGAAACAGAGAGTAGATCATCAAAAACAAAATAGGATTTTCAACC